AATAGAAAATATCTTTACACAACAGATTCACATTTACACTGGTAAACAAGTAGACCATTCTAAAGCTTTGCCATGTAGCCTGTTGTAAACCCTGGGTGCCCTTTTATTGGTTCATACATGTATCAGGTGTAGTCCTCATCTTCTAACAGTGGAATTGATTTACTAAAACCAGACCGTGCAAACTCTGGTGCAGCTCTGCACAGAAACCAAATCAGCTTCCAGGTTTTAATGTCAAAGCTTAATTGAACAAGCTGAAGTTAGAAGCGGATTGGCTGTCATATACAGCTGCACCAGATTTTGCACTCTCCAGTTTTAGTAAATCATCCCCAGTGTCTGGGGAACCTGCAACTCTCTAAGGCAATTACAGTGGAGGGTAAAATGGACTGCAGCCTGCCTGCTGCAGAGAACAAGAAGTGTTGGATTAGAGTGGTATTCTGAAACATGAAAATCCATTATTAGGGGGGAAATTATCAACACTGGGAGGACCAATCAGCTTCTAACTTCAGCTTGTTCAGCTTGAGTCCGCACTTTACTGCTATATTTTAATGCCTAGTTGATCCCTCAGAAAACATTTACCCAAATCATCATTGTGCAGTATAATCATGCACAAGCAGAACATCTGAAGTCCAGTTCTGCTGCATGATGGCATGGGATAGTGTTAACTATGGCTGTGGGCTGCTTTACCATCTAAACGAATGGCAAGCATCTGCTCACCTAATGTTCCAACACACAAGGAGGCTACTAGAATAATTTTTATAAGGTTCCATTGGCTTTCAATACATGTTTTAAAAAGCATGCAAATGGTTTAGTAGTGTTCTGCAACATCATTACACAATCCAACTTGTAAATTCCTTTTGTTGCGCGTTCACAATAGCAAATATATGGCCAGTGGCATTGACAGATTTAGTGGGATGTAACTACAATGCAGAAAGATAAAAAGCACAGACCCTTCAATACATTTTGCTAAATATACAGACTTGAGCAACAGATTCAATCTTCTGCCTAAATTTAGGACTGGGGCTGTTCATACATCAGTTTGAGGCTATAGTGCCTTCCCCAATCCCCACACTCCTGCATGTAGCCATTTGGATGAACTATACATTGGGCTCATGATAAATGTCCTTGTATGACACCTTATCACTGTATTGAAACTGCACTATTAAAACAGTTGGTTATCTGGATCTATAGTTTTCAGCACAGAACTGTAAAAAGGCCAACATTTCTCAAAGCAGACAAGATGAGAGCATAAAAAAAAAAAAAGAGAAAAAGGGCAGTCTCCATATATTCTGAAGAGATTATAAAACTGAATCATGCGGCTTTGATGTCTGCAAATTCCAATCTTTTGTGTAGAATCGCTAAATGACTTCATAAACTGCCTCTCAGTCTTGCGAAGCAGCATTACAACGTTCACATAATCTACTGCCATGAATCCCACTGGTTATGCCTAAACGGTTCATTACAGCCATGTCAAAGGTTTCAGAAACCATGGCTGAAGAGACTGGGAGAGCTAAAAAATCTGTGCTTAGATCACAGTCTGGACTCACCATTGTTTCTCATCAACAACAGTCAGTATTTCCTTAACAACCTATAAAACAGCTCACTACACAACTGGCTTAGAGCAGGGGATCTCGGGCTACACTGAGCTCAGCGTAGGATCATTTAATGTCACTGACATCACTGCTGGCAGCTCCAGAACAGGGAAAACCTGTGTTTAATCTATTTCCTACTTACCGCCAGCATTAGCTGGAGTCCCCGATAATACAGCTTTGTGGTTGGGGCTGAACATTTTTGCTAGATTACTCAATCCTTCCTGGCAAGTAAAACATGTAACTGAAGGCTACATGGGGTACATTTTATGCAATGGTGTATGTTTCACATCTGCTGTGAGGTGTGTTTTAAGGAGACTGAACCTACCTTTCAATTCTTTCACAAAAAGGCCAGTTCTGTACATAAGACACAAACAATATGTACACAGCGGGACTACTGCAATTCTTTTAAATAGTGTATTATATTTCATCCTTACTAGTTTCATAAAAGCAAGTCTTTCACTTAAAAAAAACAAAAACACTCAGTCTAATTCTATATTTCAGTAAGACTAGGGGCACTACAAGCAGATTAAGGTTCCAGCACTACCATACACATTAGGTGGTCTTACAGAATGCTGTAGACAAACCTATTGAATCTACGATGGAACCTTCAACATCTTTTAAGCTTCTCACATAAATGAGCAGTTATCAATGTTTAGTTTGCAGTTCAAATGCTACAGCTGGCTTGGTAGGTGACTGTAGTCACACTTCAAGATCTATAGCCTGCACGTTTTATTAGTGACATAACATGCTTCAGTCACTCAAACCAGCAAAGAACGGACTTTACTGAGTTATATCGCAGGGGGCTTTAAACTCCACAGTACTGGTATGCATTTTTGGAAAGGTACAAGGAAAACTTGCCAAACTTTAAAATGATGTACCAAAGCTTGTGACAACATGAACGTATAAAAACAAAAACCTGAAACTTGCAGTATATACACAAATGACATCTAACATTTAAACATGGCTGCCCTCTTTGTGTAAGTAAGGCAATAGATTACTAGGATCTTGCATTTTACTCCTAAACAAGGTCTACATTATTAACCCTTTTAGTAAAAACTAAACGTATTTTGCTGGCGATTGTCATAAATAAGAAAAAAATGGAGGCTGTCCCTGCTGACTGAGGTAAAATGAATATCTCCTTAAACATGCACGGTTTAGGAGATATTCGTTATTTATGACAGCCGGAGCATGCATGCTAAAGGAATGGCATACCCATGCTGTTCCTTCAGAGCACTGTGCCGTGGCCCGAGACTCCCTGGAGCATGCGCAGAAGTGACATTATGGCGGCTCAACCAGTAACACAGCCAGAGCTCACAAACCAGGAAGGAAGATCAGGTGAAGATGGAAGCCTTGTCAGCGGTGACAGCACGCCGCTGGAGAGCTTTAAGGAAAGTCTTTCATAATGTGCCAGCATGTGATGCATACTAGCACATTACCTTCCAGGGGATCGATTTTATTTTAAAGTGGAACTGAACTCAAAAAACTGAAGGTTTACTATGTTATAGGACAAATTCTTCTTGTTATCACCGTTGCTGGAGGCTCAGACATGACAAAGTAAATGCCCTGCTTCTACCATAGAGATACAGTGCAGAAGGCACAGCAAATTGGTAATGGGGAAAAGATCTAGTTTTTCATATTTTTTCAGCTACTACTTTAAAAACAGGTCAGAGTTCACAGCCTAGTGTACTATAGAATTTGGTATTATGCAAAATAATTACATTTTAAAAACGCAGTGTAAAAAAACTAATTTCAAATTCTGATGGAAGCAGAATTTACTTGTTGTTAAAGTGGAACTAAACCCATTAATTTAAAGCGGAACTAAACTATTGTTTTCAAGAAGTTGACATCATGGCCTCAGTTTGATCTTCAACTGCCATGGTGCTGCACATGTGATCAGGTATGACACCATCCATTTGATGGTTTGACAATTTAGTTGAGAGCACAAGCAAATGTGACAGTTAGTATTCCCGACACGTGTTGGGAATATAACTTTTTTGAAACTCAAACTGATGGGTTTAGTTCCGCTTTAACAGAATCCCAAAACCATTACATTCAAGGCATGCCATGAATGATAACGGTCACAGTTGCCTGTGCTCTCAGCCAAGCTGTTAAGCAATCGAATTACTGGCGTCATAGATGATCACATGTGCAACTCCATGGCAATTGCAGCTCAAAACACAGGCTAAGATGGCAGCTTCCTTGGTTGTAAAGAACAGAAGGGTTTAGTTTCACTTTAAGACAGTCTCAAAAGCAACCTACTGCCAATAGCAATCTGACTCTAGCTCACCTTAGAAGAGCAGCAAGAGTTAGAAAACGTTCTCAGTTCTGCTATACTGAACAGTATTGGGTTTATGTATATGACAAAACAACAGAACACATAGTGATCCTAACACAAAGCAATGTCTAGATGTGCAGTTAGCGGTTTCTATGAGAAACACAATCAGCATACTTGCACATAAAATCTGGGTTTCAGCTCTGCCTATAATTCTGAGAAAGAACTAATGAGGCCGAGAAAAGACGTCATGTCTGGTTTCATCTAACCATCTTTAGAAGTCTTGCAAAAGTGATCATTAAAGTTACGTTTCCATATGTGGAAGCCTTGTTCTGGGCATTGCCTAATAATTTAGCCATTACAGCATTCAAAGACTTGAAAAACCGTACACTGTCAAAAGGGTACGATTAAGATTTTGGTCAGAGCCTTCCAGACAGAGCGAGCCTAGCAAAAGACTTTCCAGAAAAGCAGACTAAAATTACTCAAACTTACTTTCAGAAAAAAAACTGTTGCAGCCTTTTTGATGAACACGTACTGATGAATCTGATCAATGGTTTTAAAATAATGCACAATGGCTGTGCCTACGCATGCCACCAAAGATGTAGAATCCATCAGACTTGTGAATGGCTGCATATACTAAAAGAAAACCACAACCAATCTGCATATACTGAAAGAAAACCACAACCAATCTGCTTTCTAACATATCTATCCCTTATGCTAAGTTTTCTCTTCCTTCCACATACAAGATAGAAGGTATGAGCTGAGGAGGTTAGGGGAGCTGTAGTTGCTTGAGCACCTGCACATTACCTCTGCTTCATATATTTTCCTATTTCTTACAGAACTACTGAAAGCAAGTTTAACCACTAGCCTACATGGCACTTATACCCCCTTCCTGCCCAGGCCAATTTCCAGCTTTCAGCGATGTTTCACTTTGAATGACAATTGCGCGGTCATGCAACACTGTACCCATATGACATTTTTATAATTTTTTTGTGACAGATAGAGCTTTATTTTGGTGGTATTTAATCACCTCTGGGTATTTTATGTTTTCTTAAACCAAAAACCACTGAAAAATTTTTTGGGAAAAAAAAAGTTTTAGTTTTTGTTATAAAATTTTGTAAATAAGTGATTTTTCTCCTTCACTGATGTGCGCTAATGAGGCTGCAGTGATGGGCACTGATAGGCGGCACTGGTAGGTGGCACTGATGGGCATTGACAGGCAGCACTGACTGGCACTGATGGCTGATACTGAAAGGCAGCTCAGATGGGCACTGATATGTGGCATTGATGTGGCACTGACACAAGGCGCTGATGAGCACTGACACAAGGCACTGATGGACACTGACAGGTGTCACTGCTGGGGCTACACTGATCCTCAGGGTACACTGATCATCAGTGCCCTGATGATCAGTGTATATGTCCCCTCTGCGGAAAGCCGATTACCGGCTCTCCTCTCGAGCTGTCAGCGTGACAGCTCAAGCGGAGAGAAATGCCAATAATCGGCATTTCCCTGTTTACATGTGATCAGCTGTGATTGGACACAGCTGATCACATGACCGAGCCAACATATTTGGCTCTTTCCGTGATCCGCTGTGTCTGAGGGACACAGCGCACCGATCGCTGCACGCTCCCTGAGCCGCGCATGCGTGGTGAGAATGGGAGGACGTCATATGACGTCCTCCCAGAACGAGAGAACCACCTTGTGTCCATCATATTACTATATGGCGGGCAGGAGGTGGTTATAGTGGCATTAAGTGCAAAAACAAACATTATTTTGCAGCTTACCAATTCATAGATGTTATTGTTGCATTAGTTTATTTTTAGGCTTTCCTACCTTTATTTTCATCCGGTGGTCCAGCCAGTAAATTTGTTTTTCAAAATAGGAAGCTCTCCAGCAGAATATATCAGTTACAGAGATGAGCCAAACCATTTAACACTGACAGGACTACTTACAATGATCCGCTTTTATATAAATTTATACATGTAAAACAATATATATATATATATATATATATATATATATATATATATATATATATATATATATAAATAAATGACACACATACATACAGTGGGGATCGAAAGTTTGGGCACCCCAGCTAAAAAGTTGTATTAATGTGCATAAAGAAGCCAAGGAAAGATGGAAAAATCTCCAAAAGGCATCAAATTACAGATTAGACATTCTTATAATATGTCAACAAAAGTTAGATTTTATTTCCATCATTTACAGTTTCAAAATAACAGAAAACAAAAAAAATGGCGTCTGCAAAAGTTTGGGCACCCTGCAGAGTTAATATCTTGTACTGCCCCCTTTGGCAAGTATCACAGCTTGTAAACGCTTTTTGTAGCCAGCCAAGAGTCTTTCAATTCTTGTTTGAGGTATCTTTGCCCATTCTTCCTTACAAAAGTCTTCCAGTTCTTTGAGATTTCTGGGCTGTCTGTCACGCACTGCTCTTTTAAGGTCTATCCATAGATTTTCAATTATGTTGAGGTCAGGAGATTGTGAAGGCCATGGCAAAACCTTCAGTTTACGCCTCTTGATGCAATCCCCCATGAATTTCGAGGTGTGTTTAGGATCATTATCCATTTGTAAAAGCCATCCTCTCTTTAACTTCAGCTTTTTCACAGATGGCATCAAGTTACCATCCAAAATTTGCTGAAATTTTATTGAATCCATTTTTCCTTCTACTCGTGAGATGTTCCCTGTGCCACTGGCTGCAACACAACCCCAAAGCATGATTGATCCAACCCCATGCTTAACAGTTGGACAGAGGTTCTTTTCATTAAATTCTGTGCCCCTTCTTCTCCAAACGTACCTTTGCTCATTCCGGCCAAAAAGTTCAATTTTAACCTCATCGGTCCACAGAACTTGTTTCCAAAATGCATCAGGCTTGTCTATATGTTTATTTGCAAAGTTCAAACGATGATTTTTGTGGTGAGGACGTAGAAGAGGTTTTCTTCTGATGACTCTTCCATGAAGACCATATTTGTACAAGTATCTCTTTATAGTGGAATAGTGTACCACAACTCCAGTGTCTGCCAGATCTTTCTGGAGGGATCGTGCAGTCAAACGTGGGTTTTGAATTGTTTTTCTCACAATCCTGCGAGCTGTTCTGTCTGATATTTTTCTTGGTCTTCCAGATCTTGCTTTAACTTCCACTGTTCCTGATGACTGCCATTTTTTAATTACATTCCGAACAGAGGATATTGACATCTGAAAACGCTTTGCTATCTTCTTATAGCCTTCTCCAGCTTTGTGAGCGTCAACTGTTTTCAGTTTCAGTTTTCTAGACAACTGCTTAGAAGAAGCCATGGTGCTGATTGTTGGGGCAAGGTCAGATGAGTCTGGGCATTTAAAACCTTTGAGATTGACATCACCTGGTCTTCCCAGACGATGATTGAGAACAATCCATGACACTGGCAGGTCTCAGCTTTGCAAAGGGGGCAGTGCATGCTATAAATTCTGCAGGGTGCCCAAACTTTTGCAGGCGCCATTTTTTTTGTTTTCTGTTATTTTGAAAGTGTAAATGATGGAAATAAAATCTAACTTTTGTTGACATATTATAAAACAGTCTAATCTCTAATTTGATGCCTTTTGGAGATTTTTCCATCTTTCCTTGGCTTCTTTATGCACATTAATACAAATTTTTAGCTGGGGTGCCCAAACTTTCGATCCCCACTGTACATACATACACACAGTACCTGTAAACTGATTCTAAATTATTAGCTGGAGCTCGGCTTCAATTTGTTAGTGTATTTAAATCTACTAGTACATTTAACCCCCCCCCCCCCCCCGACAATGCCGTCCGAAAGGTGTCTCATGTGCTCCCTCATTCAGAGTGGGGGCACTCTAATACAGTAGGTGCGTTACTGACCAGATCACCGGGTGAAAACTGGGGAAGAAATCTTAAAAAAAAAAAAAAAAAAATCCCTGATGAAACCACTACATTTAATGATAGGTAAGCTGCAATATATTAAATTTTTGCTTTTGGGTTTAATATAGCTTTAACTACATGTGTTTGGCAGTGAAGTTTGACAGCAGAGTGGTCCTGTCCCCAGCATCTCTATGCCATTATGTACTTACTAATTACCTGCTATAAGATAGGGACTCCCAGCATACTCATGCCAGTCAGCTTCATCTAGTACTGCCATTACTTCTTCAGGGACAATGCTGGACTAAATGCCTTTTGAACACCGTTGTGAACAGGCCAATAACCAGAAAACACAACAGTATAAGGAGAATGTGACGGCAATAACTAGGGAAGGGTAAAGAGGTGACCAGATACAGCATTGTGGAACACATGACTAGCACGAAACAATTTTGACTGGAGGGAACAAAATGTGGCCAGCAGGGGGGCAGGATGCTACTGGAGGGGAAAGAATAATGTGGACTGTGCTTATTGCCAGACAGCAATGTACTTACATTTCTGGTATAGACACAGTAAGTGTGCAAAGCCCTACTGCTTCTTCTGTACATATACTACGGTGACGAAGGCAGACACTAACATTATCGCACAAGAAACACTACGGGCATCTCTTCAACTCTACCAATATGAATGTACAGTACCTTTGGCAAAAACACTGACAATTAAAGTATAACTAAAAGCAAAGCTTCTTTTTTTTTTAGTTTTAAATAAAGTGGAGAAGGATTCAAACACCTGTCATTTTTATTTCATTTCTATCTCCCGGTAGAGGGGTTCACTATGTTTGTGCAGTTTACCCATATCACCAAGACTGAAAGTAAAAGAAAATCTTAAATTTGGCTCTGTAACCAGAACCAGGAACAGAGGGAAACATTTTTCAATGACGACACTAGTTATAATGACATTGGTGACAGCCAAGGATTCTCCCACTTTGGAGGGATTTCCTCTCCTTTCCAGTTTTGGCTATGGGACATAAATTGAAGGAAAATAACACCAATGGGATAAAGATGACAGTAAGCCCTTCCTTGCCCTGGAGAAATCGCAGAACATCCCTGTATTTATAATAAGAAAAAGTGGTTTTCTGTTTTTTCCTATCCAAGTCAAAATTCCCAGAGGACTACCATAACAGCCAGAAAACCACCATTTTCAGAAGGTGGTGAGCAATGACAAACACCTTATCTTTTTCATGACAGGTTTACTATAACAAGACATTTTTATAGTGAGGAAATGTCTCATTTGAGTTCTGATTTTAAACATCCCAATGCAATGTTCCCTTTGCTATGGGGAAATTAGAAACCCTCAGTGTATGCCAGGGCAAAACAAGCACAGTAGTGGAAACAAGTATTATAAAAGGTTTGTAAAAAGGTGGCAGGGACGTCTAAATGTCCATCAAATTTACCTTTATTATGGTCATAAAATCTGGTGATCTCGGTTTTTACAGAGGAACTCCATAGAGCAAAGTACATCCATCTCACAATATCTCAATAGCACAGTTAATGCAAAGATTTGTGCAGCTGCTATCACAATATATTACACAAAAGCTGAAAAGATTGCTACAAAGCTTGAAGCTAGAACATTCACAGGCTCTGCTCAAATGAAGCCATCTTACTTGTTTAAACTAGAGGGATACACCATCTATATATAGAAGTGATGCCTCAGCACCAACGCTTTGTAGCATGCAGCATCTTCAGAGCCAGGAAATGCCAGGATAAACCCTCAGAAGAATCCTCTGCTAAAGAGATGCGGCATAAACACAAAACAAAAAAATGGCACAGATTTCAAAGTCCTCATTATTTCTGATTTATCAACATAACCATTTGATCAGCTAAAACAGGATTGTAAAGGAAAAAAAAAAAAAAAAAAAAAAAAAAAAAGGGAAGGTGTAGGGTCAGACTACTATATCAATCACAAATCTAATACCAAAGTGCCTCATTAATTAACACCCTGGAACCAGAGCAGCCAGGCAGAAAACGCACCAACATCATGGCAAAGGTTTACTGGTAAATAACAGCTAGATTAATATCTCAAAACAGTACCATTATTCTGATTCTAACACATACATGCAGCAGCATTTCAATCAGAATTAGCAACATAAGCATCATATGCATATACTAATCGAAGTGCAAAAAAAAAAAAAAAGGAGGAAGGAGGGAGGGAGGGACAAAGCATATTAATGACTATGGCTTTGGGTAAACAAGTTTTAAATGATTGCTAAATGAAGGCGAAGATAAAATCAGGTGTGGAGTTGAAGAGCCAGTGCACTTGGCTTGTAGGCAGCCAGAATCAACTGGCTCCATGTGGTACCTGCTGTTTAGGAGGGGTTTTTGTTTAGCTTTTGGTTGGAGTAGGGAATGGCGTTTTAAATTCTGAATACTGCAACACACTAAACCAGCGGACAACCACACCACAGTACAGAACAAAAACACAGTAACACGTAACCATGCATTGTGGTATGCTGCTTCCTTTACAAAAAAGGTACAGGTCCAGTTTTGGGTTTGTTGGCCCAGATGCAGTGCGTCTTCACTGACACATGACAATGGACGACTTGTGATGAGTCCCAGGTGGGAAAACTTTCCTTCATTTTCTGTGGATAGGCGCAGCAGAAAGTGTAAGAAAAAAATCTCTCTAAAATGAG